TTTTAGTGAGTTATTCTATTTTATTTTATCTAATCACAGCAATTTCCCAGCTTAGGGGCAATTAAAATATATTTTATCTTTTAAAATGGAGTTCGTACTTCTTTTATGCATTGGATTAAGTTGTGTTTAACATGAGTCATCCCAGTGAATGATACCCATGTCTTGAGCCTTTGAACAAAGCAACTTTAATGTTGGGGTTATTTTCTTCATTTGGGTTCACGCCACAACTTGTCATCCTAATAAAAAGCAGTCATCCTCTTGTGCGTCAGCTGTGCTGTCTATTCTTTAACTGTCACATATCAAATATAATGTCTACATCAGAGTAATATGATAATTGAACCTTTTTGTTTAAGTTATATTTGGTTAACAACCAAACAGTCTCAGTTATTGCAGTAAAAAGAGTATAATAGCAAACTTCAGGATTCGCAAACAGATCATGTACGTAAAAGCCAGCGAGTAAACCACAGCTTAGCGTTTGTCACACTGGATATTGTGCACATTCTCACAAGTCTCATGTCCAGGCAGGCTTGGTTGGGTGTGGTGTTTACCACATTGTCTGAATTCATTCCCACCACTCACACAAACCTTTATGCTAAAAATGCGTCATGCGTTGTGTAATAGTCATGTTTTCTCCAAATAAACAACCTGTTTTCGTAATATTAACAGCCATACTGATCAGTGTGACTCAAGACTGCACGTTATAGATACAGTTATCTTTTGTTATAAGCCAGGACTTCCCAAAGTGTGGGGCCCGCCCCCTGGGGGGGGGGCACAGAACCATTGCGGGGTTGAAAAGGGGAAAAAAACAAGGCTTGGACACTGCTAGCACGGGAAGGCCACACAAACGCAAAGCAGGAGATAAAGCATAGCTGAATATGTTTCCAAACCAACTTCATTCTAAGCCAAAGACTAGAAAATACGGTGAAGCATATCTTCCCTTTGGCTTCACCGGCACAAGTGCCAAGGTAGGTCTCCCCTGCATAATTGGTTTTCCCTTTGTCGGGAGCAGCGCTGGGCTTTTGGAGATGTTTGCTCTTTATACAGTAAAGTTACAGCAGGATACAAATAATATCAGGTTGATCCTGCCAGGATTTGTTCCCTCTGTCTAAATCACGGACAAACAGTATCCCACAGCTGTTTATGTTTTTAAACCCATTTTGCACAGAGAGGCATTTTTTTTGAAAAATGTATTGATAGCAATGTTGAATATTATTACACAGGAAAAAAACAACTACATGTAAAATAATTACACCGTGACGCCTCTGCCTTTGTAAATAGAGGGACATTAACTGCGTGTAAAACCTGCAGATAGTCAGATTAACAGTATTTTGTCCCTATCTGCCATTCTGCAATTCATCTCACGTAAACAACGTAACGTGGCGCACAGCTGACGTGAAAAAGGGCACATAAATTTGACTTTGCATGAAGAACTCTGTATTCCTCCTCCACACTTATACCAAAAAAGGAGTTTTAAACAAATCTCCATTTTCGGTGATTCGAAACGCCGTTTACGTGTGGACGAAACAGCTGCATTTTCAAAAGGTGTGGACTTAGCATAAAACAGTTAGTAGTTTATTTCCTTACTACCTGTAATTTATTGCATGTTTACTTAATGTTTGAGGTGTGAAATATACCGCAAAGTTTGGGAACCACTGTTATAAGCTATATTTTGGTTACTTTAAAAAAATAATAAATTATAGTACCAACATGCTTGAATCCATTTGTAGTATGCGCACCAAAGTGAACTACATTTATTTGAATGGTTACCATAGTGTTGTCAGGTCACACACTGGAAAGATTATAATTTTTTTGTGTGTCTGAGAAACAACACAATAATAAAGTTACCTCTGACATGATACCAATATAAAGATGTTAAATAAGAGTAGCATCAAGACTATAGACTGGAAAATTGGTCTCCTAATGTTGGTCTAAAGAGCACAGTTCTGAGTGAAAAATCACTGGATTATTATATGTTAAATATTTGCACACATCCATCATACATGTATGTAAATATTTATTCTTTGTGTTGTATTTTTGTATGCAGGAAGTTTTATGTATTTATGGTCCTGGTAACAGTGAAGTGGTGTCTCAATCCTGCAGCAAGGAAGATATATAATGTAGCTGCTCTCACTGTGGTGTGTTTGATGAGGATAACTGACATGAGACCACCACCATACTCCAATTTTGTCATTTAAGGTCAAAAGTTACACTGAATATATATTTTTATATGTAATTGTATTTGTAATCTTTCTTCCAGCAAGGCAAAATGTCATGGAAATTAGTACTGTCACATCACAGCAAGGAGGCCCTAGGTTTTAATCTGCCTCTCTTGTTTACATTGTCCCTGTATACTCCATTTTCCCCCCACAGTTCAGACATATGTAAATGGCCTGTATTTGTGTAGCGCTTTACACATCCAGTCATCCACCCATTCACACACACATTCACACACTGGTGATGGCAAGCTACATTGTAGCCACAGCCACCCTGGGGTGCACTGACAGAGGCGAGGC